ATGTTTGTCCCTCGACAAAGTCTCAGTCAACATATCTGAAATATTATCATCTGTGTGAACCTTTTCGAGTTGTAACAATTTTGAATCTAACACATCACGAATCCAATGGTATCTCACATCAATGTGTTTCGATCTTGAATGAAAAGTAAAATTTTTACTCAAGTAAATCGCACTTTGACTATCACAATAAAGCACATACTTTTCTTGCTTCAAACCTAACTCTTGCAAAAATTTCTTCAACCATAACTCTTCTTTGCAAACTCTCATAATGGCAATAAATTCAGTTTCGGTAGTTAAGAGAGCAACACATTTTGTAATTTAGATTGCCATGCCACAACTCTCCCTACAAAAGTCATTACATACCCCGAAGTAGATTTCTTAGAATCAATATCACCGGCCATGTCAGAATCTATGAACCCATCAAGTATCGGCTTACCATCCCCAAAACACAAACACACCTTCGAAGTGCCTCGAAGACATCTTAGAATCCATTTTACCGCTGCCCAATGTTCTTTACCTGGATTAGAGAGAAAACGACTCATCACACCAACTGCATGAGCAATATTCGGCCTTGTACAAACCATGGTGTACATCAAAGAACCAACTGCTGAAGCATAAGGAATTTTTAACATCTCTTTCTTGTCTTTCCCACTTGTAGAACATTAATTCGAACTAAGTTTGAAGTAACCCGCAAGTGGACAATCAACCGGCTTTGCTTTATTCATATTGAACCTCTCAAGAACTTTATCAATGTAGTTTTCTTGAGACAACCAAATCAGTCCCTTTTTGCGATCACGAACAATTTTCATACCAAGAATTTGCTTTGCCGGTCCCAAATCTTTCATAGCAAAAGGCTTGCTCAACTCCAATTTCAATCTATTAATCATGGTAGAATCTTGACCCACAATTAACATGTCATCAACATAAAACATAAAGTAAAAGAATAATAAATTTACCATCCGGGAAATTTTTCACAAACACACAATGGTCCGAAGTGGTTTTAGAAAAAATCATTATTTATCATGAAAGAGTCAAATTTTTTGTAACATTGCCGCGGGGCTTGCTTGAGGCCATACAACATTTTCTTCAATTTGCAAACAAATTTCTCTCTCCCTTTTTTCACAAAACCTTCCAGTTGCTCCATGTAAATTTCTTCTTCAAGATCACCATGAAGAAATGCGGTCTTCACATCAAGTTGTTCAATTTCAAGGTTCATACTTGCAGCCATGCCAAGTACAACTCGACTAGAAGACATCTTCACAACTAGCGAGAAAATTTCATCAAAATCAATACCTTTCTTTTGCCCAAAGCCTTTCACAACAAAACATGCTTTGTATCTCAGATTCTTGCTATCATTCTTCAATTTGAAGACCCACTTATTTTTCAGAATTTTCCTCCCCTTAGGCAACTTCACTAAATCATAGGTGTGATTTTCAAGTAAGGAATTCATCTCCTCTTCTATGGCCTTTTTCCAATCACCTTTCTTTGCATGCTCAATTGCTTCTTGATAGCTCTCGGGCTCCCCTTGATCGGAAATCAACACAAATTCATTGGGAGGATACTTTGTTGAAGGTTGTCGGTCCCTTGTAGATTTCCTCAACTCAAGTTGTGGTGGCGGTTCTTGAGTTGGATACTCTTCCTCAATTTCTGGCTCAACTTCATTAGGACTAGCATCACCTTCCACATCTTCAACAAGTGGCTGCACATCTCCCCCATTTTCATCATCAACTGAAGATGAAGGAGATTGATCCATGTCAATGAAATCACTAGTTTTTGGCTTCGGTTGATCACCTTTGCCAAAGTCTTCAATTGTTTGGTCTTCAAGAAACACAACATTACGGATTCGAATGACTTTCTTGTCGACTGGATCCCACAATCTATACCTAAATTCATCACGCCCATAGCCAAGAAAAATACATTGTCTTGACTTACTATGAAGCTTGGACCTCTCATCTTTTGGAATGTGAACAAAAGCTCGGCAACCAAACACTCTCAAGTGCTCATAAGATACATCTTTACCGGTCCAAACTCTTTCTGGAACATCACCATTCAAAGGATAGCAAGGAGACAAATTGATCACGTCAACCACTGTACTCATTGCCTCACCCCAAAAGGATCTTGGCAATTTAGCTTGTGAAAGCAAGCACCTTGTTCTTTCCACAATGGTGCGGTTCATCCACTCGGCAACGCCATTTTTTTAAGGAGTCTTCTTAACTGTCTTTTGGTGCCGAATACCTTGACGGCGACAATACTCATCAAATGGCCCAACATATTCACCACCATTATCTGATCGGATGCACTTCAATTTCTGTCATGTTTCTCTTTCAACCATGGCCTAAAAATGCTTAAATACTTATAGAACTTGATCTTTAGTTTTTAGTAGAAAAGCCCAAACTTTCCTTGAATAATCATCAATGAAAATAACAAAATAAAGTGCACCACTATGTGTTCTAACTTTTAAAGGACCACAAACATCCGAATGAATCAACTTCAAAACATTTTCTTTTCTAGAAGCAAAATTTTTATGAAAAGAAATTCTATGTTGTTTACCCGCCAAACAATGAACACAAGTTTTGAGATGTGTACCTTTCAAACCGGGTAGAAGCTCTTTCTTGAACAAAACTTGTAGCCCCTTTTCACTCATATGGCCAAGCCGCTTGTGCCATAATTCGGTAAAAGTATCATCTTCAAGTGCATTGACAACACTTTTACAAATTTTTCCTTGCATCGAATAAAGTGTATGAGTCTTCTTGCACTTAGCCACCACCAAAGAACCCTTTGTGAACTTCCATATTCCATCGCCAAATTTGTTGTTGAAGCCTTCATCATCTAGCTTCCTAGTAAAGATCAAATTGAGACGAATGTTGGGAACATGCCTCACATCTTTAAGCAACAACTTGCAGCCCAAATTTGTTTCCAAGCAAACATCACCCATGCCAATAATCTTGGACAAACCTTCATTACCCATTCGAACAGAACCATAATCTCCTTTGGTGTAGGTAGTGAAGAAATCAACTCGAGAAGTCATATGAAAAGAAGCATCAGAATCAATCACCCAATTGCTCTCTTGGCCCACAAAATTGATACAATCATCTTCACAAACGACCATGAGATCATCGGTAGTAACTGCTGTTATGTCTTCTTGCTTCTTATCCACACTTTTGTCACGTTTTTTCTCCTTGTTCTTGAGCTTTCAACATTCTCGCTTCATGTGCCCTTTCTCATGACAATAATAGCACTCAATGTCTTTCTTTGAAAAAGAATCATCTTTTGATTTGTCACGGCTTCGATCACGACCATGAGGAGTCTTACTGCTCCTCCTTGTTTTGCTTCGGCCTCTCACAACGAATGCTTCCGAATGAGAGGAACCCGCTGATTTTCTTCTAGTTTCTTCATTCAGCAAGCTACTAGTGACTTGGTCCATTGTGACAACTCCATCGGGCGCCGAATTGCTAACTGTCACAACCAAAGTCTCTCAACTTTCGGGCAAAGAACTAAGTAGCATCAAAGCCTGCAACTCATCATCAAAAATAATTTTCATAAAAGCAAGTGGTTAACAATACTCTTTATTTCATTCAGATGTTCCGGAATAGGGCTGCCCTCTTTATATTTTAAATTAACCAACTTACAAAACATAAAAGCTTTATTTGTGGCTGATTTCCTATCATAAAGGCCTTTTAATTTTTTTCATAAATCATGTGCTGAAGTTTCAGTAGCAACATGATGAAACACACTGTCATCAATCCATTGACGGATAGCACCAATGACTTTTCGATTAAGCCTCTTCCACTCATCATCTTTCATGCCTTCGGATTTGCCACTATCACCCTCAATGGGTCCATACAAATCTTTACAAAATAATAGGTCCTCTATTTTAGTTTTTCAAGTTACCCAATTATTTCCATTGAAGCTAGACATACGACCCACATTCCCCTCCATTGATTTACACAAATAAATAAACCCAAATAAACCGTAAGCTTTGATACCAGTTGTTAGGAAAATTCAATGTGATTCCCCACAAGTAAATCAATCAATGAGAATAAAAACTAATGCGGAAAAATTAAATCAAAAGCAACACAAGAATTTTTACGTGGTTCCCTTAATGTAATGTACGTCCATGGGATCGAAATCTAATTCCACTATCAACCAAATAAGTTTCTAAACGATTACAAACGAGACACGAATGATCTCACAAACCACCCTTGGGTGAATTCCAAATAATTACAAATAAACGAACAGAAAAAACCTTACCAAATAAATGAACCAAAAAAGACCCAAAAATTATAGACCCAAATCAGCCGAATAACTGAACATCCCAAAACTCACTGAAAAAGCTTGGTTGACAAATTGAATTTCCAATGTTCTAGCAGACGCAGCACACTTTTTTTAAGAACAAAAACCCACCAGAGACCACCTATGGCAGCCGTACCGCGCCTCCTTTTTTTTCCTTGGGAAAAACAATACCAATAATATATTGTGAATCTAGGATTTTTTTATCAAAATCTTAGTTGTTTTCAAATTGAATTGGGTCTCCACAAAATTAGATATAATATATAAAAATATATTATAACTGATACCAAATCAAATTAAACTTTTTTAATAAACCAATTGGATCTCACACTCTAATAAGGAGGTATACCCAATAAATAATAATAATAATAATAATAATAATAATATAGAGAATTAATCACAAAATCGATTAATAGAGTATAACTGGGTCCTATATATGAGATGGTGAGGCTTGCCATTGAAATTGTTGATCTTATCACATTGCCCTACTTAATTTGTTTGAAAAAGTCTTATCATTTCAAAAAACCAAACCAACCCCCCACCGCCCCAAAAAAAAATTAAGGTGGGGCACTCCTTCCATTTTTTTCATGGTCCATGATGTGGTTGTTGATTGGTAGTATATCTATTAAATTACTGCATATCTAGTCATCAACAAAATAATTATTTCACAACATATCCAGGACTTCAACGTGGGTACTATTATAGGCTACAAGGGGTAGCAGGCACCTATCCTTAACCCTTTACCAAACCCATGAAGAATATATATATATGTATAGATGAGCCAATATGTCCAGAATGTCCGTAACTTTTTCGTAGTTACACTGATCTTGAAATCTTTGACAAATTAAAACAAACCAAAATGAAAGACAAAAGTATTCATTTCTACCTCTGCTTTCTTCTCCTTTTTTCCTCTGTTCATTCTTTTGTTGAGAGCTTCAATGAAGCAGAGGACATCAAAAGATCACAATTCCCAGATGGTTTCTTCTTTGGAACATCCACTTCTTCATACCAAGTATGTCTCTTCCTCTTCTTGCCTTCTAAATTGTGTCCTCTCTCTGTTCCTTAGACTTTTTCCATATTGTTGTCACAGATTGAAGGAGCAATTCTTGAAGATGGTAAGAGTCTCAGCAACTGGGATGTTTTCACTCGCATTCAAGGTAATTGAAGAAGGTCTCGTCTAAAATGCAACTAAAGCTAACTGTAATATGATTGGTTTTTGACTAGCAGTTTGTTGAATTCATTTAGGTGGCCAAAGAAATGGAGCAAATGGAGATGTAGCCAATGATCATTATCGCCGCTACTTGGTATTAGACTTGCATTTCTTTTATAATTAGTCTGTACACTTAAATTGCATAACAAAGATATGAAAAGAGATCGTCAAATTAATTTTATCTTATTCTGATTATTACAGGAGGACATTGAGTTAGTGCAGTCATTGGGGGTCAATGCTTACAGATTCTCAATCTCATGGGCCAGAGTTCTACCTAGTATATTCTTGCTCATTTTCCAATAATCTGTTATTATTTGTCACTCATAATTTGATTGGTTCATATAACTTGATTAATTTATCAAAAAAAATAAATGTAATTTGATTAATGACCTTCTTGAGTTTTATTAGGAGGTAGATTTGGAGAAGTCAATCCAACTGGTATCATGTTCTATAACAAAATCATTGACAATCTTTTGCTCAAAGGTACTGTGTGAGCAAAATTTCAATCTACTCAGAGAATTCCTCATGTTGTTAACAAGAATATATTTTAACAGAATAGAGGCAAAACATTAATGCAGGAATTGAGCCATTTGTGACGATAAATCATAATGACTTCCCTCAAGAACTTGAGGACAGATATGGGTCTTGGCTCAGTCCTCTTATGCAGTATGCCCAATTCTCTCTCTCTCTCTCTCTCTCTCTCTCTCTCTCGTTCAACCATTCTAGGTACACAGAATTAAATCACTGAAAAATACCCAGAATGCTTCCAGTGGTTTAATTTGTGTGCTTATTTTTCTCAATCAAGTTGGTCCCTACCTAGTATTTAATATAATTTTTCTTGTAAATTCTGTCATTAAATCTTTGTCCATATATATATATATATGTGTGTGTGTGTGTGTGTTTGTATTTTTGTAGGGAAGATTTTGTGCATTTTGCGGAAACTTGTTTCAAGAACTTTGGGGATCGAGTGAAGTACTGGATCACAATCAACGAGCCGAACTTATTTGTAGAAAGCGCCTACTTGCAGGGATCATTTCCACCGGCTCATTGTTCTGAACCTCATAGCAACTGTTCAGCTGGAAATCCTAACACGGAGCATCTTATTGCAATGCACAACATGTTACTGTCACATGCCAAGGCTGCCAAGCTCTACCATGAGCATTTTCAGGTAATTAAAGTGAAAGCACTCTTAATTATAGTCGCACGTTGTATTTGATAATTTGATTAATGAAATCGATGTTTTGCGCAGCCAAAACACGGTGGATTCATAGGAATCGTGGCGTGTGCATTCATGTACGAGCCACTGACAGACAATGAATTTGATAATGAAGCTGCAAGAAGGGCCTTGGCTTTTGATTTGGCCTGGTAAGATTAGCTAAGATTTTCAAAATTAAGATGAGTAGTAGATATTGAAAGTATTGGTCATCCAAATATGCCAATTCAAGTAACTCCTTAGAAACTTCAATAAAAATTCATTTTATGCATTAATAATAAAACTATACAAGTATTTGGTGGATGGTTTATTCATGTACACACTGTGTCCCACAATTAAAGCCCTTCTTTGTCACATTTTTATTTATTTATATTTTTTTTTGGGGTGTTGTATTATTGTTGACCAAATACACTCATCCACATATAGTATAATAATTATTGTGCATGCTTATGAAGCAAATAAAGTAGCTGTCCTGCCTTGAGCTTTGAAATTTTGTAGGAAGCTTTGATCTTAAGGTATCCCAGAATCTCTTCGAAAACTCCCACTCCATCTACTAAGGATAAATTTAATGAAAACATAGAAAAAAAATTATGGTGTCATTTTGGATCAGTAGATTTATCATTTTGGCATGAAAGTGTATTATGTTTTGCATCATGTGTTCCAAATCATAATAATCTTTTAGAGAAAATAATTTTGTGAGAAGAGAAACTTCAAAAACGCTATATATCACTCAATTTTGTAATTGTTTTATGGGAAGTGATTCATCCCCCGAAAGGGGACCCCCGAATCCCCCGAAAATGCCATTTAAGGTAAAAAAAAAAAAAAAAAAAAAAAAAAAAAAAAAAAAAAAATCATGTGTTCCAAATCATAATAATCTTTTAGAGAAAATAATTTTGTGAGAAGAGAAACTTCAAAAACGCTATATATCACTCAATTTTGTAATTGTTTTATATCTCTGCCTAGCATGATATTTTCTATTGGTTTGAGTTTAAAAGAAATCTTATTAAGGACAACAACAACAAAAAAAAAAAAAAAAAAAAAAAAAAAAAAAAAAAAAAAAAAAAAAAAAAAAAAAAAAAAAAGAGGAAATTCACACCTTGCTTCAAAATAATATGGTGATAAAAATTGGTTTATTTATAACTCTCCTCTAGAAACTTATACTAGAATTAAGTCATGATTAAAAGTTGGAAAATTTTGCTTCAATGCATAAATATACTTATTTTTGTCAAAATTATTATCTAGCTACCATTTGAAATCCGGGAAATTATTCAATACTCCCGGAGCACCACGTGTCCATACTCCAAACCAATTCTCAATTAGTTAGTCCCATGTTGTCCCCCATCTCTAACATAAATCATGGGTCCTTGTGTCTCTCCACCAATCAAAACATTATGGAGCACCACGTGTCCATACTCCGGGAGTACTGAATAATCACCCCTGAAATCCAGTGTCTGGCTCTTTTCATTATTAAATTTATTTGGTAAAAAATAGTTAAAAAACCACTGTCCTAAGTTTGTTTTGAAAATCATTAGGAGTAAAAAACTTTTTTGTTAGAAAATTGAACTAGAAGCTGCTAATCATATGATAAAAGTGATTAATCTCTTGTAAAACAGGATATTTGATCCCCTAGTATTTGGAGATTATCCTCCAGAAATGCGGCGTTACCAAGGAAATGAATTACCCAGATTCTCTGCAGAGGAAAGGATGTTTATAAAAGGCAGTATTGACTTCATCGGCATTAACCATTACTCAACTTTTTATGCCAAGGACTGCATTCATTCTAGTTGCAAACTTGAAGGGAATGATCATATCATGGGGTTTTCCTATATTACCGGGGAACGCAATGGTGTTCCAATTGGAGAACCGGTATGAAAATTTGTAATACCAAATTAGTCTCAATTTATGTATGTCTCAATTTATGTATAAAAAATATATAGAAATACATTAAATATATATATATATATATATGTAAGTATAAGAGAATATGTGACGTCTTTCTTGTTTTTCACAGACTGGGATGGACGGTTTGTACATAGTTCCAAGAGGCATGGAGAAGATCATCGATTATCTTAAGAAAAGATACCATAACAAGCCTATATTTGTGCTTGAAAATGGTGAGTACTTGGCATCATACTAGAAAGCAACTATTTATTTTGTCCTGTGTCTTGAAAACTAGTTTGTTTTTCATTTGGGTAACTCAGGGTATGCTCAACAACGACAAGGTATTGCAGTGCAAGACTTGCTACATGATGTGAAGCGAATCGAATTTCACAAAGCATACCTTTCTTCCTTGGCCACAGCAATCAGGTAATTTTATTCTCGCCACTTTGTTTTTTACTGGGCACAAATCCTTATTACAAATTCAGAATTAATCTGCTTCATGGATATATATATATTGTCTTCTGCTCATTGAAAAAATGGGCTTCTTGATAGAAGCTTTTTGAACAAAAATTTGCATTTTTCTTCTTTTAACAATACAGTTATGATACAAGCATGCCCACTTGTATACTGTCCCAGCCTAATTCCTTGTTGGGGCAGGGATAGGGTGGGAAAAATCACTGAAGTGTCCGGGTAAGGAGGTGCCAAGATAATTTTTACTCTCTTAGGAGCAGTACTAATGACATGAGATAATTTGACATATGAGAGAACGATTCATGAGTGATAAGAGACAACTATTGATGTTTTAACATGTGTATGTTTCTTGTTTGGGGATATAGGAATGGAGCCGATGTACGTGGATATTTCATATGGACATTGATGGATGACTTCGAATGGCTAAATGGTTATAGCATCGCATTTGGACTTTATTATGTCGATCGACCAACCCTAAGACGTATACCAAAGCTATCTGCCAAATGGTATACGGATTTTCTAACAAACAGTACTATTACTGGGCCTACTAGCCTCCAAGATAGGGTTGTAATGGTGAATAGAACAAGTTCATTGAGACAAAAAATATTATACTCACAAGATTAAATACCAAACTGGCACCAATGTAATTAGATTCCAACGTTGTATATTGTTTGTTTGTGAAGATGTATACTAAATTATTTTGTAGTTTCCTTCGAATTTCAAGTTTATTTATTTATTTTATTTTTTTATTGTTTATTTCTTTGTACACTCATAAATCTTAATAATAATAAAAATTAATAGCGTATATGATGGTGAGTTAGTGTAGCATGTACAAGTTGGTTTGACTAGCTGTTTGGTTAGTCTAGTGCAACCATACAATTTTGCTAGTTTAACGAGGATTCCCTGAACTATCTAACCAAAATAAATAAATAGAAAAATTAGGAATCATAAAATTTTTTTCATGAAAATGATCATGAAAAATTTATGATCTTTGGATTACCTTGATTAGTGTATAGTGTTTTATTCTAAGTGTAATCCAAGGATCACAAAGCTTTCATGATTATTTTCATGAAATGTTTTTTATAATACCTAACATTAGTGATAAATAAAAGGTGGATTGTCTGAGGCGGTTGGCGAATTGAAGACGTTTTGGATCAGTAAACTTAAATTATTTATGAAGCAAACTTTGATTAGTCATTACTAAACTTAATTTATATATATAAGATTTAAATTTTTTAGTTTAGGCTTTTTTATTTTTTCTAAAATACTTTGTATTCCATGTCAGACATAAAGATATGTTTCATATTTCGAAATCAAATCAATATTTAAAAAGTCAACAATACAAAATACATAGAAAAATGATCCGGACCACCTCTAGGGGTGACCCCCACGACCCCACTGGTCTGTGATTGGTTAGATTATTTTTTTTATTTTTCTTTTTTTCTTTTTCTTCTTCAATTACTAACTCAAGTGTGTGTGGGGGTGGTGGGAGTTGGTGATTGAGGGGGCTCAATCACTTTTGAAATATATATTATCCTAAGAGCAATGCTAGACTAGACCCCAGCCCACGACACGAGTATGACAAAATTATGGGAAACTTACCAATAAGTCCCATATACAAAGTTCAAGGCTCATCTAATCCTCAAACAAAACACTTGCAACAATTAGTCCTACACATTTTTAATTGTTACCAAAAAGTCTTTTTTTTTAAAAAAAAATTTGCAGACACTGTTATATCTTACTACCGTCGGACTTCCATCAAACGGTCACCGGAGACTCGTCGAAATGTTCAACATCACTGGAAAGTCGCTGGAGTATTGCCGGAAAGCCGCCGAAAGTTCACCGGAGTGTGAAGAACGTTAATGGAAGTCGCCGGAATGTTCAGAACGTTCACTGGATCTTAAAAACATCACTGAAGACTCACTGGAATGTCTAGAATATTGCCGGAAAAAAAAAAAAGAAAAAAAAATAAATGAAGAAATTAGAGCAAAAAAAACATAGCAAAATGTGTTAAATATTGATAAACTAAAAGAAAAAAAAATGAAATGACAAAAAACAGCAACAATGGGAAAAACATATTCTATTTTTCAATTTTTGTAAGGTTTAAGCAAATAATCTTCAATATTGATCAAACTGAAAAGTAAGTTTTGAAACTGTAAAATGTTACAGTTTCAAAACAAAAATCTATTAAGCATTTATCCTTATTAATCAAATTGGAAAACATGTTATGAAACTGTAAAATTTCACAATTCTAAAGAATGTTATGAAACTGCAAAATTTTACAGTTTTATACCATGATTCATTCCAGCACCAAAAAAATTTGAAACTGCAAAATTTTATAGTTTTCACCGCCTCTAACTGAAACTCGAAAACTACTTGTTCAGAACTTGAAAATTTTCTCCATTAGTACAAAAAAAGAGAAGTGTATAATAGAGAAAATGTAGAAAAAAATAAGAGATCGAAGGAGAGAGGCGGATATAGAGAGAGGATTATACTCCGGCAACTATTTTTTGTTTAGATCTAGCCAAATCTGATGTAGATCTACATCAGATCTGAGTAGATCTGCTCATCTTCTTCGTCGGAAATATATCTGCTTCGCCGTCGGTGAGGGTGAAGTCACGAGTTGATTTCGATGGTTGGTAGTTACCGGTGAACCCCGATCAATGGAGAAAGACGTGATCACCGGTCGTCGTCCATGACAAAAAAGATGAGAGAAAAATGCAAAAAAAAGAGAGAGAGGAAAACGTAAAAAGTAAGGCAAAAAGCTGAGAGAGAGAGAGAGAGAAAAGTAGGACTTTTGGTTTACTCAAAAAGTTGTTGATGAAATAGTGTCCACATATTTCAAATAGGACCTGTGGGTAATTTTCCCAAAAATTATATAGACCTCCTAACATTTGAAATTAATCTAAAATAATTTTTAGATTAAATTTCCTATTTTTCCTAGTTTGCCCTTGTCCTCTCTCTCACTTGTTGCCGCCTTAGGGTTTATTGCGGCAGCGCAACAGCGAATCAGTGTTGGGGGTGTGACTGGTTCTTCACTACAAAATCAAAACACAACAAATACCACAACCACCAAGGACAGCTACAATCAATAATACATAGAAAATCCAAGGGTTAAAGAGGGTTTCTCGATTCCGATTCTCGACCAATCGCGTTGTCTAGTATTAAGGTTTGTTACATCGAAGGTGGGTGGAGCACTGTGGATTTGATTCCTCAAATCTCTCCATGATTGGATTCTTCAAACGGTGGTTGGTTGGGGGTTTAAGGGTTTTGATTGTTTGTGACTTTTAGGTTTGGATGTTACTTTACAGATCAATTGTTTGACAAAATGATTATAAGACCATTTGAAGTTGCAGTTGTGGGTTTTGGGTTAGGTGATATTGGCGATGGGGTTGGGAGAGGAAAGTAGTATTACTAAGATGACTGTTGTTGGTATTGGGGGTGAGAGATGGGTGGGTGATGGAGGAGGAGGAGGTTGTTGGTTGTGAGAGTTGGGATGTGGGTAGCAGTGTGATTGTTGTTCATAAATATTTATAATAGTTGCTCACACTCCTCATCACAATGGCTTCAACCATTGCGTTCTGTAGCAGACCAACATTAGCCCATGGCATTGGGGTTTTGCATTCAAGTTTGGATTTTTGGAGCAGAGAAAGAAAACCAATGGTGGAAGACCCATCCACACATCACTCAATGTATGGGTTTTTTTTAACACACCTAATATACGAGGCAAGTTCATAATTTCATTTCCTCCATTAACGGACTTAAGTTTTGAGAACCCATAAGTAGGAATGGAGACAGGGCAGGACGGGGACTACACTCCCTGTCTCTAATCCCCCCGAAGGTGATAAATTTCCCATCCTCACCACCGATCCTCGGCGGGAAACCCATCACATGCCCGCATCCCCTAATGGGGATCGGGTATCCTCGACCAGGAAAAATCCCAGAATTTTCCAGATATGTAAATAGCAATTCCATTTGTACCCATGTCTTTAAATTCAAAAATTGACACTGACATTTTTTTTTTAATTCAAAGGGAAGATTACAAAGTAAACAACACAACATCAAACCAAGAAAGCATATCAGAGGGCTAAAACAACATATCAAAGGGAATATTACAAACCAAGAAAGCATATCAGAAATCATATCAAATGGAACATTACAAAGCAAACCAAAACAACATCATCCCTTTCACAAGAGATTCCAACTGGATTGTTCACACTGCCACTACTCAAAAACAATCTAAGTCCTTTCAAAAGAAAAAGATAGGGTCTCAAACAAATGAGTTGTTCACACTGCTGCATCTCAAAAATATATATAGCAGCCCTATATTCCATCCATTAGAAACCATAACCTATTCAAGCTGCATACAAAGGAGAATTTAGCAAGTTGCAAAGAGAAAACAAAGTCCCAAGCACAACCCGCAAGGGATAGGCTACCGAAAAAAGAAAAAAAAGATCCATTACAATATAAGAAAATTGAACAGTTAAATAACATATCCTTATACAATGCGTAGGTTTGAACTACCTACCAAGCTAGCAGCCACAATGAAAAAAACCAAATCCATTGTAAAAAAAAAAAAAAACAAAACAACAACATTGTTTCTCCAATACTCTGATATAACCACAACTTTCATCATCTTTTTCAACTTGAATTTCTGTTAAATAACAGAAGGAAAAAAAAATCAATATTAATAATAAGATATAAAAAATGTTAACAATTAAAACAAAAAAGATGGCAACTAACACAAAAAGTGGCACACGACTCAACCAAGTCGATCTCATCATCATCATATATAGTCGCATAGCCCACCGATTCCAATGTTGAATTTCCTAAAAAGTAAAGAATATAAATTAAGTATTGAAATTATTCCACGGTAATATAAAATTGAAATAATAATATGTAGATTTACTTGAGTACCTTTCATCTCTGCAACCCACAACTAACTTTGTACATACATTAATGCTTCTAATGTGTTTGGATGAAATCTATTACGATGTGGACTCACCAACCTTCCACTAGTACTAAATGCTAACTCAGAAGCAACAGTGGATATAAGAATAGCTAAAATATCCCTAGCTATTACCTGTAAGGTCGGATATTTTGGTCCATTGGCTTTCCACCAATTCAAAACATCAAAACTTGAAGTTCTTGGCAAAAATATTTTAGATAATGGTCCAACTCTGATCTTACCTTCTTCATTTTTTTACTTTTCTTTCTACTAATAAACAAATCATACTCTGAAAGGGTCTCTGTAACAATTTCTGGATGGATAAAAGAATCACCAACAACATTGGTCTCCATACCAATTCAGCGTTGATACTCTTGCAACAAATCATAACAAATCTGACGAACCCTATCAATTTCCTCTTCAGCTTTGTCTCCATAAAGTTTTTCAAAATAAAACTCCAATACACTCATCTTGTACCAAGGATCAAGTACAACAGCAACTCCAATAACACCATGTATCATTAACCAATATTTATCAAAAAATTTCACCATTTTTGATGCCATTGTCCTAATCACTTCAACTTCACAAGAGAGCCATTGAGACAATGCCATCTTAATCTCACATAAAGTTGGGAAACAAACATTGGCTGTGGGATACTGTAGACACCCCATTTTTGACAGCCCATAAGACTTGGGCGTTACTGATGGTTTACTTGGTGATAAAAGGTGTGCAGGGCAAAGATCCAGTTTCTTCGGCAAGGAGAGAGACAAGTCTCAAATTCACACCCCGTTTTGGACCA